AGAGTTCTCCTAAAGTATCAACTGAGTTCTCCTAAAGTACCCAGAGAGTTCTCCTAAAGCTCCCAGAGAGTTCTCCTAAAGTATCAACTGAGTTCTCCTAAAGTACCCAGAGAGTTCTCCTAAAGCTCCCAGAGAGTTCTCCTAAAGTATCAACTGAGTTCTCCTAAAGTATTTACTGAACTGTCCTTAAGTGTCCAGTGACTTCTCTTAAAGTATCCACAGATTTTTCCTAAAGTATTTACTGAAATATTCTAAAGGATCCTCTGAGTTCTCCTAAAGTATTTATTTAATTATCCTAAAGTATCCTCTGAGTTCTCCTAAAGAAAAATGTTCATAAATATCCTGGAGTTCGACAGAAAGAACCTAGAAGTTTTTATAAATCATAAAACAGTTTTTTTTCTCCTCTCTTCTGAGAAGTAAATAACAAATGTCTTTGATCTTGGAGAGTAAATGCAGATTTTATCCAATAAATAAAACTGGTGCAGATTTGGGCCAAAACGATGACATTAAAAGACCTGCGGCATCCAAAGGGACTCAGTGAAAGATAAATGGCTGTTTTTATAAAAGATTTTACTGCTGCTGGAGAAGATGAAGTGGATCAGCAGAACATCAGTTCAAATCTGACTCCAGAGAATCATGAAGTTGGATTTTCTTTCTGAGCTGATCCCGGTACATGTCTCCTCAGGCCTGGTTCCACTCTCAGAGACGCCGGCACCAGGCTGTGGTTCTGACGGGTCGACATCAGCTCTCTGATACAGAGGTGGTTCTGCACCAGTGGGTCTTACAGGAGTTGGGATATGAAGTCCATGTGTCCCGGTTTGCAGAGACCAGCAGCTTCCTGAGGGCGCAGCAGGGTAAACACACACAACCCGCAGCGTTTCCTGTCATGTGACCTGGGTGGAGACTTCCTGTCCACAGTTGGAAACAATCAAGCAGGTTTATGCTGCATGTTTATGCTAACATGTAGACCTGCAGTCGTTGGTTCTGCACTGAAAACACTCTGAGCTCAGATCTGTTCCTGGAGTTCAGTTCGTCTAATTCTGTAGTGGCTCCTCCAGGATCCGAGGTTTAGGGTGCTGAGCACCCAGAGAGCTGTCTGGCCACACAAGGTTCATTTCACTGTTTTCTACACATATTTTTTAAACGACTCCATCATTCACTAATGCATCGTATCTGAGACGTGTGCCAAAAGCCTAACAAGCAAAGCAAAAACCAGCACATTTAGAAGAATATTCCAACCAATTAAAGTTTTTAAAGTCGTAGGGAAATCATATTTAAATGTCAAATCATTCTGGCTTAAACATGTATATAAATGTACTCTTTATCAAACCATATTGTCCCAAAATTTAGAAAATTTCTGTGTTGCGAAAACTGCTGTCTTAACATGTGTTTATTTTTCATTATCTTATGCCGGCCAGTTATTTATACGTCAGCCTGAACACCTTAAATTCGGCAAATCATATATTAAAAGGTCATCTGTCAATCAAATTTTTTCGGTCATAGCATCTTGATTCATATGTCGC